AACAAAAGAATATATAGGCTCAGCATTCAACTTCCACAGATTATAATGAACGAATAATATCATTTTAATTAAAAATTTAATTTGTGTTTATCTGGATAAAAGTAAAGGCTAGTAGTTTATTCATGTACAAACTAAATAAAAATAAATAGTATACATAGAGATTTAACTAAGCAAAGTGAAATTAAAGGCTAGTAGTTTATTCATGTACAAACTAAATAAAAATAAATAGTATACATTGAGATTTAACTAAGCAAAGTGATAAGGTTTAAATCATTTTTTGTTGCTATTTTGGAATGGACACTTGCATCATGCAACGCATCACCCTACATGGTTGTCATCATTCACTGTGTGTGCATCGGTCATCAGTTACCACTGGGTTCATTTCCTGATGCTTTGTCCGTGTGTATTTGATGGTTCTAATGCATCATTGTTATTCTTTATTTCCTGACGTTGATTAGATTTGTTTTGGTTTAAAATTTACTGTTGTGAGGTGTGTATTATCTAAATTTATTCTAATATAGTTTTGAATATATTTAAATTATTAAATTTAACCTGTATGTTGTAATAATTGTTTCGGTTATACTTTATTTGAGTATATATTAATTATAATTTATAATTTAGAAGAAGTAGAAATATAAATATATTTTAATTATAGTTATACAATTACAATTATAAATAATATACCTTCAGATTTTGAATTTGTTGAACTGTTTTTTTTTTGGGTCACAAGTTTGGCACTGTGATAACAGTGCTTTCAACGTTCTCTCAAATTGAACTGTTCGGAGGTGAGAATACTTAGAACCGGGGGGGGGGGGGGGGGGGGAAACAAGGGGTAAGAGTCAACTTGTCCGCCAGGATATTAGCTTCACGCGAGGAATGATTTATCGTGAGCTGCCATGGACGACTGAGCATCCCTCGGATTCTTCGGACGATTGTGGACTCGTTAGCTTGAGGAGGGGAATTCAGAACCCGCACTACTTCCATACTATCGGACTCCACTTGCAATCGAAGAATACCACAGTTCCACGCTATATCGAGACCATCGAGCACGCCCCAACAACAACCCATGTTTCTGATATAGCCCGTAATCCAGTTCCCTTCATTATTATTTTAATACTAAGTTGATCCTATTGAAAATAAGTTCAATTATCATTTTAATATACACAAACAAAGGTTTTTTCAATGAAAGGTTCAAAATTTTTAATAATTTATAAATATTTTTAAAATTTAAATTTTTAATGAAACTGATATTTTTCATTTTACTTATATTTTAAAAATTTTAATAGTATTTTTATTATTATATTTTAACAATATTTATATTTTAAATAAATTTTAAATTATTTTTTAAAAGATTAAATAAGTTCTCTAACTTTTTATAGAATAAATTGTACCCTCATACTCACTGCAAATTAATTAAGCTCCTTTATCATGTCATCATTCACACGTGTATCGCTATATTAATACAACATATTATCATATCAACACCATTAACTCACCATCAATATTGTAATAGTTGATAATGATTTTTATAGGTAAAAAGAAAACATTGATGCAATTTAGAAAATTCAATGATTAAATTAATATAATTAAAAACAAGTAACAATATTATTAATTTTGGACGGATAAAATTATCTCTTAAGCTTAGTTTTAATAATAGTGTAAACTACATCATTTCTTATTGAATTTACTCTCTCCTATTTCACTCACAGTACTTTTAATTTTTCCAATTTATTCACTGAACTTTTGAATTGCTCCTTTTTATCACTCTGAATTATTTTATTATTATTTTGGTTTGACATGACGTTTATTATTATTATTTAATATAAAAAATTTAAAATATAAAATAAAAATATAAGGTAGTCGTTCACTGTTCGCGGGCATTGGATGCCGCTGGCGACGGTCGTAGATGGTGGTCGTTTGGTCTTAGATTTCATTGGTTGCTTCGTATCGACCCCTGGGTTCGAATCTGGTCTCTATTTTTTCAGAACATGCTTTGAAACCATCAAAAATGAGAAAACCAAAACGTCGATCGTCATCTATCATTGTAGATGGTGGTCGTTTGGTCCCAGATTTCATGGGTCGCTTCGGCTCGACCTCTTGAGTCTGAATCCGACCTCCATTTTGTTGACACATGCTCCAAAGTTTATGAATAGGAGATCAAAAGAGAGGAAACTGAAATGCTTTAGTCAAGATTCACGGTTTTGGGATATTTTTCAGTTAAACAACCATCATATTCAGACTAAGCGTGTCAAAGTGAGTCTCTTGATACAATTTGAGATCAAACGGTTGTCGATTCTGAAGGTCGACGGTGGTCGACGGTAATGGGGTGGTGGTGATGTTGTAGATGGTGAAGTGAAAATATTATTTTATTATTTATTTAAATTATTTTTATATTTTAATTATAATAAAAATGTCATGTCATAACAAAATAATAATAAAATAATTTGTAGTGACCAAAGTAGGAGCAATTCGATAGTTCAGTGAGTAAACTGAAAAATTGAAAGTATGAGTGAAATAGAAGAAAGAGTAAAGTTTAGTGAGGAATGGTGTATTTACCCTTAATATATATATATATATATTGACATAAATAAAAATAATATTTTAAAGTTCGTATTTCTTTTATTTTTATAGTGAAATCCTGTGTATTAAATTAAATAAGATTATGAAGAATAATGAAAAACCACCGAACTCTTTTAGGTGGATTTTTTTTATTAATATGAGAGGAATACAAAATAATATATGTTTGAGAGATTCTTAATTATTTGACAATGAATACTTATACACACCTATAGATATCGTATCTAAACCCAAGATATCATATCATGTGGAACTTAAATAAGGAATTTTAGCTATTTAAATTTCCTTTTGAAATTTCCCTATGATTTTAAAAGTTTTTATTACGTTTAAATTTAAAAACCTTAATAAAAAAATGAAATTCCCTAAAATGAAAAATGGTTAAACGATGTTCAAGTCCTTTAAAGTTCCATAAAATTATAGCTTAATAATGATACAAATATATTTTAACCTTAAAAATAAATTTTTTTTGGTTGCCTTTGTAAAAAAAAATGGTTGCCTTTCTGGTTCCCTAGGGTTTTTGTCCTGACTGATCTAGATAAATCCGTGTCCACACATGACTTTGATGGGTGAGTCTCCCAATGAGGATTTTTTGCTTACACAATGCCTCAAACTTGAAACCTACTTAAATTATACCAAATTATTTACGACTTGAATCCCTACAAGAATGATCACCATTGATGATTAAAATAAAATAATAATTCAGGTAACGCACATTGTTTGTTGGCTAAGGACCTTGAAGAAAACCAAGTTCAACGTCAAAGCATCAAAAGCATTTGTTCTCTCTCACAACACATTTAACATGTAATGTATAGATTAGTATAAAAGAAAATCGCAAAAAAATTATAGTTTTGTATTATAATTGTTACTCAAATATCTAACTTAAGCAATACCATCATTTGAAAGAGGCATTCACATATCTCTCTATTTCTATTAATGAATTATAGAGCGTAATCATAATGTTTTGGATCATGTTGATGACTTTGGAAAGCCTACTATCACAATTCATAGAGGCTCCACATAATACTAGTTTCAGTATTCTATATTAGGATATGATTGATTACATAAATGATCTTTTCTTTTTAGTTTTGATAAATTTTTATTATCGTTTTTGAATAAAAGTTACATTCGATAATTTATATTATTGATTTACTAAATTTTGATTATCTATGTTTTCTATTATTATATTTTGTTCATTGAGATTTTAACTCACGTTCAAGAGGGAAAAATGAGTAAATTGAAAATTTTAGGTCCAACGATTGTCATGATGGTGGCCGATGGCAACAATAATGAATGGCAACCGACGGTGGGAAACTTTAATTAAATACAAAGGTCAACTTGATATTTTATATAAAGTTTAGGGGATAAAATAAAAATTAATCCCTTTTACTAAAGTTTTGTGTCATCAAACTAACAAAGTTAATGATTGATAAAAAATTATAACAATTGATAATGTTAGTGACCAAAATTTAATAAATAGATAACATAAGTGTCTAAAATGTAATTCTTTCAAAATCAATGATCAAAAGTGAACAAAACTCAAATAAAAGTGATCATTTTCATAATTAACTCATTATGGTAATATCATATTTGGTAGTAATATTTTAACAAAATATTTAATAAGGTATCTATATTTTTAAAATGTGTAATGTGGTACATGTCCTTTGACAGAATGTTCAATATGGTGCAAGTGCTTTAACAAAATGTCTAATGCGGTACGTTTTCTTTAAACTCTAATATGGTATCTACTTTGTTAAAATATCTAATGTGATATCTATACTTTGCTAAAATATCTAATATAATGTATGACATATTGTTATATGTATTACTATGATACTCAAATTAACAACGTTAGTAAGTGCCGTACCTGAACTATCATTCCATTTATTATTATGATAATTGGGTCAACACTATTAGTAAGTGCAAAATCAGTCAATAAAAATTCGTATATACTATAATAATGCATAAAATGATAGCTCAAGAAACATGTTAGATATTTTATCAAAGTACATGTATTACATTCGATAATTTAAAAGTACAAGTACCGCATTAGACATCTCATCAAAATAATTATACTATATTAGACATTTTAAAAGTACATGTAATACATTATATATTTTGTCAAAGTATAGATACTAAATGTGACATTATCCCTTGTATGTTTTATAAACTACAGTCAGTCTTGATTGAAGTGTTCCACAGCTGGAATCTGCTTGAGTTTGAGTGATACAGATGAGGAGGTAGATATAATGGTGCCAAAGATTCCATTAAACAAGACTATAATACGATTACAAGTCAAAGATGAAAGTATGAAACATATAAAAATATCATTAATTAAACAACCTTATAGTCTTGTCTCTTTAAAGAGTTTAGACTCTAGAGTCAATATTATGGTTGATCAAATTCCCCACCAACTTGATATTTTAAAACACCCACACCCCAATCATTCAAGTCAGAATAACAATGGTGTTAATCATATGGGTGTCTCTGCTGTGCCTGCTTGGTTTCACTCAGTGCTATCAGGGTACAGACTTCAATCCTTTTGAACTCTTGAGGCAAGAATTATATGGCACATCAACATGGGAAACGACGTTGAGCTTGGAGAAACAACATGCTGAGGAATTACCTGTTTATATTGGTTCTCAGGAAGGACTGAAAGAGGTTGATAAAGTTGGAAGTTTGCCTGGACAGCCTGCTGATGGGGTGGATTTTCATCAGTATTCGGGTTATGTGACGGTTGATCCTGAGGCAGGCCGGGAATTGTTTTATTATTTCGTGGAGTCGGATCACAATTCTTCGAGTAAGCCGCTGGTTTTATGGCTTAATGGATGTAATCATGCTTATAGTCTATGCTCTTTGCTTATCTACTACATGAATTTCACCATCCTTGGAAATTAATTTTTATGCAAAAGCACATAATGGCAGACCAATATTGATAAAAAGTCATTATCTTAGTAGATCTATTACTTTTACCATTAGTTACTTTTACTGCATAGAGTGAAATTTAAACTTAAGTATCAAAGACCTAACTATACATTCCTTATTACTTGAGCCATGACTTTGTTTGATTTGAAATAGTGTAGTTGTCTTTACAAAACTAATATATTATAAACATAAATGATAAAATCAATTCCATAATATTATTAAATAAAGGATAAACTACACAAATGGTCCCTGACTATAGGATACTGCTTTATTGAGTCCTCGACTTACAAAATGGTCCCTCTATTATAGGGAGTTATTTTATTGAGTCATTTGACTATTAAAAATTATAAAATAGTCACCGACTATTAATTATATTCCTAGCTTGTTCTTTTCTATTAAAAAATAATGGTCGTCATAGTAGTACTTTAACATGTTGACTGAGATATGATAGTCGTTTGAGATTATGAGATCAAATTTTATCATATCTTAGTCAGCAGGTAAACGTTTAGCTTAAACTACCGTTATTTTTTTAACGGAAAAGGACGAGTTTAGAACATAATGAATAGTAGAGTGACCATTTTGTAACTTTTAATGGTCCAGGGACTCAACAAAACAATTCCCTATAATATGGGAATCATTTTAAAATTTTAATAGTCGAGACTCAACAAAACAATATCCTATAGTCAGGGGACCATTTGTGTAATTTACTCTTAAATAAATTATAAAGGTATTTTTATATATGTCTAACTTAGTCTTTTATCTATTCATGATGTCAGTTCAATTAGAATCTTTAATACTGCATATAGTTCTTAAAAAGTAATGATAAGAACATATACTAAAAAAATGATTAGCTTATAACATCCTAAATATGATCCTTAAATTTTGGTGGGTTTAAGATGTCACATTAATCTATCTTAACCGCTTAAACTTTAAACCTTAAAAGATTTCATTTAACAACCATCGTTTTAAAACATTGACGACAGTTAAACCGATAAACAAATAGAATAAGTCACTTATACAAAAGTAGGAGCTCCATTATACAATATTTTTATAAACTAAAATAATAAAGTTACATACTTGTGCAAGACATAATAGATACTAATGCTCACTAAAGAGACAAGAGTTGTACTCTGATAGGAAATGTTTAGATCCCTTCGCTATTGGTAATTTTTTTGGATATAACTGAAAATCTATTAATATGGGAACGGACACAATTTGAACGTTAAGCTTTACAAACTTAATTATACACATCCATCCTATAATTCATGAAAGTCATAAACGTAATCATGCATATCAAACATAACATCAAAGACATGACATAAGCATTTTAATTATAGTTATTATTTCTATTATTCATCAGAGTTCATCACATTTATTACTTATGATTTGTGTCATTTCAATGGCTTGCTCTTTTAGTTTATCTTGTTCAAACAGATTTGTTAGGTACCATAATTCCAAAATCAGATTAGTTTTTTTTAGATATCTCATCTTATAAATATTAATAAATAAAAAATAATGTATAAGATAGAATTATATATATACTCAGATAAAGTAAGATATATCTTGATAATCCCTAGATCACATGTGATCGCTAATCAAAGAATATCGAATGTCTATAGTATTTTCTTGAGCGCCATAGATGGTCGTAAGTCAGATAATAGCATCGGGTGTTTGAGTTGTTTCCCGTACAATATCATTTGCCAAATAAATAATTTCATCATGAGAGCTAACGATAAACAATGCAAAGCATACATAAGATATTAGCTAATATCATAATTATTTCAAAGTCTTATAATCAATTTGATTATGAGTAACCTCTGATGTGTTATGAGTTCATAATTTAGCCTCTTTCCAGATCCCATTATGATTTTAAGGTTTATACAATATTTTGTATCTATATCGAAAGGGCAGTATCAATATTCTTCTTTAAGGTATCAATACTCTTTGAAAGTATCAGTACTAAATTAGTAGATTGAAATTGCATCTACTAGTGCAGTATCCATATCAACTTAAGGGTATTCGAACAATACCAATAATTCATGAATGAGTATTGATAAAAACTTTAAATTTTACAAAGATTTTTAATTTAATTTCATACGGTATCGATGTAATATGAATAATACCAATATCAAAACTAAAAATATACATAATTAGCCTCGAAATTTACTCAAAAGGGATCTAAACCACATCATTGAGGAGTTGCATGATTTCTAAAGTCCATGGCATCTTAAACACATCAAGTATCATCATTTCTATAAGATTCTGATGTAAATTACCACCCAAATTATCAAATCATGCGTATACACTAAAAACAGTCTAAAAGCCTATATTATATACTCAAACATCACATGTAAGAATTCCATGAAATGTTTCAAAGTTAGAAGTGTACTACCTTCAAGAAAAATACAAAAAGAAAGCCTCTTGATTTTCCCTTCAAACTCTATTCTTTCCTTTAGCTTTGAGGTTTTCTCATTTTTTAACTAATCAAACAACCGATAAATAAAATCTTGTATCAAACAAAATAACAATAGAAAATAAAGCTACAAGTTTATAACTTAAAAACAACCTAAAATTCATTGATTGAGCTTCCAAAGGCCTAAACCTTCCTAAACCTCTAACTAGCTCCTACGAACTTTTCATGAAGCTCTAAGGATGAAGAGAATAAATCTTACCTTCTCAATCTTGATTTACTTTGATTCACCTGTTGAAAAGGTTTTTTTCCATTTCGAAAATATTCTTTGGAGCGACGATTAGTGATAAAAACATGGTTCGAGGAGTCGCCACCAATCTTTGATTAGGGTGTGATTGGGCACCCAAAAATAAATTTGTCCTTTTAATAAAATATTAATTTTAATTAAAACGACAAACTAACAGTTTGCGTTACCAAAATTTGAGTTCGGGAGTCGGTTACGTGTGGGTAAGGATTAACACCCCCACAACGCCCTAAATAGGTACCTAGTCGATTAATTAATTGTCTTTGCAATAAAACTTACAAGTTCAAGTCTAATTTTAATTTAAGATCCCCTGAATAATGTTCTTTGAATTTTCGGATGAAACATGATAATATTTAATTATTTCCTATCGAGAAAAATCGATCTCTCATACCTTGAAGCAATCGATTCTTACTCTAATTGAAATAAAGAAATATTAAAATTCCATTCTAAATTCACTATTAATTCAACATAATAACATCCAAAATAGTTTTAAGCATAAAACGATAATATCCAATTATTTCCGATCGAGAATAAATGACATTTTATGCATTAAAACAATCATTTATTACCCCAATTGAAATAAAAAGATATTACTATTTCGCCTTAAAATTACAAAGTGATTCGAATGAAAACGATAATATCTAATAATTTTCAATCGAGAATAAATGACCTCTCGTACCTTAAAACAATCATTTATTACTCGGACCGAACCGAAAGGATATTACTATTCTCATTGTCGATTTGAATGTTATTATTTTGAAAATCTACCGGAAAACACATGCAAAAATAAAACAAATAAAAAAAGCCTAAGAAACAAGAAATTAATTAATTATTTTACCTATATTTAATGAGAATAAGGATGTTCAATTATTTATATATCTCGAGACGAGATCTTAGATTCGATCTAATAGTTTTTTCTCGTTGAATTTAATTAAAAGAACATTATTTTGATACGAGTCAAGTGATGCTTATGAGGATATCATGCGAAATTAATTAGGACTGAAATGAACTAGTTGAAAATAACATGCGAAAAAAGAAATAGGACCAAAACATAAATAATCAAACTAACATGCCAAAATTAAAAAAAATAAAGTATACCATGGACTAAAATGAACATTTACAATATTAAGTGCTAAAAATAAATAAAACATGGGACTAAATTAAAGTATATTAAAATTCTATGGCCAAATTAAAATAAATAAAAAAACATATTCGGGTTCAAAATACAAACATACAAAAACACAGGGGCTATTTCATAAATATTCCAAAAAGTTTTTCTATATTTTACATATTCGAATAAATAAAGGTAAAATCATAAACTAAGTCCCTAAATATTCAAAGAAGAATTAAACAGTCACTACAAGATTAAAATGCAAAACACGCTTAAACATGCAAGGGCTAAATAAAAAATATCCCAAAAGTAAACATCAGGCACATAAATGGGTAAATTACATAGAAAATCCCTAAGAGTGACTAACATGCAAAATGCATTAAAAGTTAAGGGACTAACTTGATTAAACCAAATGTTTTAGGCATGAACATAAATGAGAAAATAACAATAAAAGTCCCCTTCAATGACTATTATGTAAAAATGCGCTAAAACTCAGGGGACCTTTGTGCAATTTCCTGAGATTCACCCTATATATACCACTTCTGTTTTTTTAATTTTCGTTTGTAAATCGAATTAAAAAAAATTCTCTCAAAATCCTCGACCGACACATTGCCGGCCGACTCAATTTGCCCCCGGCCACCGTACACGGTGGTCAGACATCTCAAACTTGACCAAAATAACCCATATCTTAGATCTAAACCCTTATGACTAGATCCTATGCTAAAACATACTAAAACGACCCTAAGAGCCCCAAAAATAAACCCCAACCACTCAGCTTCAACGCTCCGGCCGCCGCGAAGATATCCCACCAAGGTAAAACATTATACCCTCCTTCGGTTTCTTGTGTACATGCAAAGCTAATATCTCTATTATCATTCGAAACTGTAGTAAAAAATAATAATACCTCGTAAAAACTATGCTTTTTATTACTTTTTTCGAATATGGAGTATGTGTGTGCTAACCCCTTTTATATTTCTCGTTAGGTATTTATAAACCCCGATTACAACCTTGTTTCTTTCTTCTTCTTTTTTGCTTTTATTTTCTTTTTTCTGAAACGAAATGAGTACAACTGAAAAATTG